TGAAGCGGTGAAGCGGGCTAAATATTTAAGAAACCGGCGTTTGAGATAAAGCTCATTGTTCACTCGAGGGGATGGTTTCTACGTTTTACATTTCGTAAGCTGTACTTTGACCGTTTTCTCCATGCAATAGCTGAAGCAATCACTATAGCATCGATGCTTGGACAAACATTACTGAGGTCGCGTCCATACATACAGTCGCGATCTCTCAGACGAGGTAGGCGGAATTGCGGACTTCACTGCGACGCGACGACGGCTGTAATAGAGGTGGCGGCCGTAGCTGATGCAACAACGGTGCATGGGACAAGACCTGTGAAACAACGAATTCAAAAGCGACATCGATCCTCAAAACAGAGTCAAAGTGTGTTCTCATCATGCAAAAGAACACAGCAATGGCTCTGTAATAAAGATAGAGTCGAACAAAAAAAAGGAACAAAAAAAAACGAAATAGCAAACTCACAGGGCGACAGAACTCACGGCCACAGCGGGAAAAAAATCGAGAAAATGACATTTCAGAAATACCACATCTACCAAAACAGTGTCAGAGAGTGTCCTGGCACTATTAAGGACACATCACGACACTGCCATGAAGAGCGGGTCTAACATTCAAAGAACAAATAAGAGAAAACCTAAACAAAATCAAAAAGTGGGCAAAAACACCGTTGCAACAGTGAAATTGCGACTAAAAGCTAAATATTAATAATACCTGAAATTAAATTGAATAATATGAACTTACCTCTCTTTTTTGGCGTTTAGGAAGCAGAATAATAGCATTAGAAAAATAAATCGCTAGAATCAGCTGATTGCGCGGTGTAGCCGGCTATTGCGTGCAGAGTCCAGAGAAGAAGAGTACGCAGAGAGGCACGGTCTCGCGGAGAGGGGGCGCAGAGAGCAAAGAGCACGGTGATTGCTGCCCCATGCAGCAACGGGAGCACCCCTATTACAGTAGTCGTCGCGTGGCAGTGAAGTCCGCAATTCCGCCTACCTCGTCTAAGGGATCGCGACTGGAGATTGTTGCAGTCGAAGCCAGGACATTGAAATACGTGGATAAAGCTGCCGTACGATTCAGCGAAATGCTCGCAGCTGGTCAGCGTTGAGCAGCGGAAAGTGTACAGCAGAGAGGCGCTACTTCTCCGCGCCGTAAATGCCAAATAGGCATTTCAAGCAGACTATCGCATCAGGACCCCATCCACCCAACGTAGCAGTGAAGCGGCTCGTCGACTTTTGCAACTCTCTTTGCGTTGCTCCCTCAAGTTATGAGATCTCTCCCTGTGGTTATCCAATCAGCCAGTTGGGAAGTACTCTGCTAGTGCACTCGATGCCGCGGGTGGGAATGTCACAGGTATCTGTAACAACTGACAACTGTAACATGGAAGCAAGTAAGTAATGAAAACCCTAGTTTGACTTACCAATGCTGTCTTTTTTGTCGCTGCGTAACCAACCCCACTTTTGAATTGGAGGTGGTGCAGTAAAATGAAAAAGAAGATTAACATTGAATCATTTCTGTCACCTTGCTAATAACGTTATCAACTGAAAGGCCTGCCTATGTTTCAGAAGAAGTGCGAGCTGACGAAAAGTGTGATTTCCACGACTGCGAGCCTTGGAATTATTCTAACGGCCTCAAATGTTTAAACCATGTGTGTCCCTGTCCTCCTCCACATTCAATCGCTGTCAACGTCTGTACAAGCAGCGCAGCCCTCCATGCTCTAACCTCTTCCTGTAATTCAGCATGTCAACCACCTCAACTGTGCGTTAATAACCGTTGTGAATGTCCTGTGAATGTGTTGTGTGCAACGGCCAGCGTATCGCGTAAACGTAGTGAAGAGCAGTCGATGGTATGCTGGCCAGGAGCAACTCAATGTAGTGATGGTAATGGTGTGTGTATCGACAACGTATGTCACTGTATCAACGGATACGTCGAAATAGATGGCGTTTGCGCTGCAGAAGTAGTTAAAATCAATGACAAATGCGATCCGAATAAGGACTCACAGCGATGCATGAAGAGCGTCACCTGTGTGAATGGGTATGTGCCTCTGGTGGCTGTGATCGTGAAGTTCCTCCCTCTTGGCCCACATGCACTGACGGGCGTTGTATGAAGGATCGGCAGTGTCAATGGACGATGTGTTGCAGACAGATTCCAATACAGTGAAGGATTTACCTTTCCAGGTGATTTCGAGGCTCTTGGTTTTGCTTTTGCTTTATTTCTTTCCCCCATCGAGAACCGAAGAAGATAGTGCTCCTCCATTTGTGAACCACGAATTGGGATTAGTAAAACAGTTGAAAGAGCACAGTCCTATCGGAACGTAAGAAGGAATGTCTCGGCGGCATAAGCTCGTGTCCACTCTCTTCTATTGCATTTGGCTACATAGCTCTCTGCGCTTCTCCCGTCTGAGAGCCAGGCAAGTCTACCGGCTAGGTCATCTAGCCAGATTTAGATTCGTGTTCTGAGAATTTTCTGCCATACCGACCTTTCGCCCCTCACCAAAAAGAGGGTTTCCGTGCGACCGCCCAAAGAAAACTATCTCTCGCTTCCTCTCTAGAAGCAGGGTTTCGGTACGAACGCCGAAAAAAATGAAATGGTATCGGATTGGATAACTGAATTTTGAATGTCCGTGCGCTTTCAGAAGTTGTATTGACGTACGCTTCCTGCCCTTGCACTGACAGGAGAGGTCAGGTCGTAGCGCTTTTTAAAAATGGTCTGTTGCTTGTAAGGATCCATACAAGGATTACAAAAATGGGTTTCAATTTTGCTATGCGTTTCTGGGGAGGTCAAAAACTGAGTGAAAATAATTTGACAAGAGAGGGCGATTTTAACTGTCTTATTGGGCTCTGTTGTAGCTGTATCTTTGAAAATGCTTAGTTTGTGAGGTGTTCCTTCACTATGTATCGAAAAGAGAGCAAAATAAAGTCAAAAAGAAAGTGCATCTAGAAAAGTAGTACCGAAGTTACTTCAACCACTCCCGCAAGCAGTGTTCCGTGGTCGGCGGATGGCGGAGTGGATAGTGCGGTGGGCTCTTACAGAGAAGGTTTGCGGATCTGATCTTCTTGGCGCCGGTTTTTTTGCATTTTTCGGATACTTTATGCATTCTTCGGATTTCTGTCTTCTTGTGTTCCTGCGTGCGTGGTGATGTATTTAACATGAATATATGCCATTTAAGAGCTCATTCTGTACACTCAAACTTCACGAGTCGAACCTACTTAACTATTGCGCTCATTACTGAGGAAACTCTTGCTGAAAGTTGGGCCCCGGGGATGACTGGATACCCTACTCACGAGTACGACACTCATTTTTGACCGCGGCGCAGCCTATCGCCAATTTGCTGCAAGAGCATTCTTGCGCTGATTTGTTGTCAAGCCGCACGCATGGGCTGTTAAGCGCTCAGCTCAAAATTTTCGCTGAAAGTCTCCATATAGAGGTTATTGAGGATCACGGTTCTGACCTTTATAACTGGCGCCTAGGTCACTTGGCGCCAACATGGCTCTGAATACCCCTCCCCTGACTGCAGGTTGGGAGAATGCTGCGAGAATCACTTGAGAAACTACAATGCTGCCTCACTGTGTGCCAAAAAAGTACTTTTTTCACCTTGGCTTGTATTGTTTTCGATGCAGTGTCAACGAAGGTCTCATTTGCTGTGCATACTCAACATTAGAGATAGAAAAAAGAGCCTAGAAAATGGTTCAAAATCGCTTTTTCCTAGCAAAAGAAAAAAAGCCTAGAAAATGGTTCAAAATCTCTTTTTTCCAGCAAACTTTTCACTCATTTTTTGAACTCCCCAGAAGCGCATAGCAAAAACGAAACCCATTTTTGTGATCCCTATATGGACCCCTACAACATGCAACAAACCATTTCTGAATCGTGCGATACGACCTGAAAGACCTCCCTTGTGAGGCATGCCATTTCGCGAAATTTCGCGAAATGAGCCGGAACTCCAGAAGCACTTTTCTCGAATATTCGTAACTTCTTTGAGAATAGAACTTCTGAAGCGGGAAAAGCAGGGTTGGATTTCTGCACATTCACTCGATTCGGTATCAATTGAATATGCAGAAATTTCAAACAGTTTTTGTGAGGGGCTACTCCGTTCTGCTCGTTGTTGAAATTCAATGTCACCTACGAGTTTTTATGCCCTGAATAGCCATACCTTCCTCAACATATTGTAGAACGAGTTCTGGTTCTGGGTTCTGGGTTCTGGTTAATCCAGGAGACTCCCATCTTGCACAAAGCTACTACTTTCGTATGCCTAACTCTTAATAAATCTTCGCTGTGTAATGGTTGGCACAGTTGCGAACGGCACGAAAAACCCTCTCCTGCAACTTTTTCCAGTTTGTTCGAAGACATAAGTATGGCTTTGCAACACCCTTTTTCTTCAAGCCGGACATGACATCGTCGCTATGTTGCGCCATGCATCTGATCGCTTTTGGGAAGGTGTAAAGCCTCTCCGTGCAGGAAGATATGTTCCTGCGGTTTAGGGGAGTCTGGGTGTATACTATGTTTTGCTAGTTTATCGATTAACAATGTTGTTGCAGGGCGGCCACTGCATTTTTTGCTTCTCCACGTTCCCTGCTTCTGAACCTTGCCTCTGTCTTGAGGTGCCTCTTAGAGTGTTCTTTCGTTTTTCTCGAAACAGGAAGCCTGAATAAATCTCAACATTCAAACGTTGAAATATTAGTATCGCTGTTCTCTCTGCATCTGAGCAAGCCCTGCGCTTATGACTTCCCCCCCCCCTCGTTCCTTTCTCGCAGTTGAATACAGCTCCCTCGTTGTGATTCCCACAACGATTTCGTGCCCTGTCGAAGCGTCGAAAGCGTTTCACATGGACATCTGCCTACCTGTTAATCTCGCACATTGCAAGGCCCGTCCTCGGAGGTGAGTGTACAATTACTCTTCAAGGTGCCAAATAGCACCTAGAGATGAAGTTTCAGTGAAAAATTATTAGATTTCGGATTCATAGTGTTGAAGAAACATTCTTCCTAATTCGTTGCCATTTTAACTTAGAGCCGATGGAATGTCATTTCAAGGCGGTGTTTGTTCATCGGAGATCGGTGCTTTCAAGAACATCAATGGTCAATGTACGACTGAAGACCGTTGCCCTGGCGGTTCCACATGCCGCGCTCAGGTCTGTCAGTGCGTTGACGGCTCATCTGAACATCATGGCTGTTGTCGTCAATCACCAGGAAGGCGATGCACCCACAGGGAGGCATGCAATGGCGGTTCGAGGTGCGAATTCGGCTTATGCCGTTGTCTTGACGGTAGCATAATCAATGGCGCCAGGTGTGTAATCAGCAGTACGGAACCTGGAAAATCGTGTCAAAGTGGTCAAAAATGTATCCACGACAGCGTTTGCCGATTCGGGATGTGCATGTGCATCGCGAAGTACGTCACATTCAACGGAAGATGTATGACTGAGGAGAGTATACTCACTCTCACCTCCTCAACCCTTGCTGCCACTCCACCTGTCAAGGTTGGCTCTGTGAAAGGTTCTGGTTTCGAATGTCATCGAAAGGATATTTGCAGCGGTGGTTCAACGTGCCGAAACGGATTTTGTGAGTGCAGCGATTTGGAAGTGATCATCAGTGGGCACTGCGTCGGCAGTCATGAAAAAGCCAACGAAATCGTCGAGAAACTGCTTGTCGCTGCACCTGGCCAACCTTGTGAGGCTGGGGAAAAGTGCACTGGAGGATCGACATGCACCAATTATCTCTGCACTTGTGAACACGTCGCCATTGACGACTCACGTGGATGCTTTGAAGATGCTCGGAAACATATGGCGCGAATGTAGCACCTTCGAAGAAAAGTCCTAATCAGTTTCAGCCCGGTTCGGCATGTGCGCTCAATATCGAGTACGCCTATCTCACTGAATGTATGAGAGGGGTATGTTGTTGCAAGAAAGGTGAGACGATCGCGGATAATACAAGCAAGAAAACGATTCACCAGGTCGTTCCTAGTGGTAAATGCGATCATCGAATTGGATGCGATTGTATTGGAGAAGCCCACTGTTTTTGCGACGTCTGCACGTGCACTCGGCTTCTCGTCAACAATGGTAAGGAATGCGTCACTTTAAGTGAAATGCAGATGGTGACGCCCGGAAAGAAGTGTGATCTTGCACAGTGCTGTCACGGTGGATCACGTTGTATTGTTTGTGCCGATGTCTCGCTGACGAAGTACCAGATGTCAACAAGAAATGTAAAAAGGTTTGGTCACAGGTTTATCCCGTCTTTGACAAACACTCAGTTTTCGCACTAACAACGCCTATGTATTTGAAGGAACCAGACTTATAGGTACTTCAGTACCAAATGTAGCAGATATAATTGGTGAACTAGAAGCAGCTGGGGCATCTGAGGCATTGCTGAAAACGATTCCTAGCTTTTCGCAGACTGAGACAGATAATTCTCGGACTATTTCTGGTGACCTCTTCCAGGAAAGGGACGATTGTCCAGTCAATGCATTATGTTTTCAACAGTTGTGAAGATGCATGGGTGGATACCGTGCCAACGCAGGCTTTTGCCGGCTGATTACTACTAATTGTGCCACTTCTAGACAACTCGAAACCATGTGCCCAACTTGCTCATCCTGGCGAGGACTGTACAAATGGACAAGTCCGCTCTTACAACAGTTACTGTGGCATATGCAGTGGAGTATGTGAATGTCCTTGTGGTATGATTAAAATGAACGTTGCGAAGGTGAATGAACGTAGCGAAGGTGCAACAGCTGCTCCAGGGCTTGGCTGCATCACCTCACAAAATTGGTATGGATGCAGCTATGCGATAATGGATTGTGTCTATGCAAAACTGATCACGCACTGGTCAACAACTTTTGTGTACCGTTGCTCGAATTTCCACTGGCAGGGGAAAGGATTTCAGTAGGCAAACCTCAGAGCCCAACACAATGCGGACCTCTACGGTATCGCCAGATGTCCATTTGTTTCCCTCGGGCTCCACTCCTTTGGATTTCGCGGAACCTCCATTCTCCTCGCCGTACCTCTAATAAAGTCCTCCTCCCCAGACGTTCTCGGACAACAAACGAAGACACCATCGCGAGACCCTCCGAGCGACCTCAGACATTTACTAGTTTTACCATGCCGCTCGCGAAGGGAACGAATATCAAGGTCGGCCGCGCTCCGCAAGAAGCGGCGGAAGCCTTTCTGAAATCAAAGGTTCCGATGCCAGGCGACCTCTGTGGCGACATCTCTATCTGTACTGGCAACCCCGTTTGTCAGAAGCATTTGCCGCTGCCCCCCAAACACCTACGCTGAGAGTGGAGTGTGCAGTATTCGAAAACGAATGACTCCGAATCCAGGCACAATGATGATCAGGAGTTGTCGAGTCAAGAAGATGGCACCACTGAAGAGCGACCGTTTGCCGCTCCACTGGAGAATTGCCAAAATTTCGAATTCTCCACTGGTGATTCCGAATGCTCAAATATACAAGAAATGGGTTTAGTCTGTCAATGCCCATCAAATGATATTTTCTTCGAAGGTGAATGTCTAGATGCGCCAAGGGATGCGTATCTGGCTGGAATTGGAGAATCTTGTCGTAACGGTATTTGTCTAGGCGGAAGCAGATGTCTGCAAAACATCTGTATGTGCAGCGAGAATCAACATGATATTAATTTGTGTGACGACAGCACGTCCTGGCGGTGATTGCAGCAACGGACAGATCTGCGTTCATGGAGCCCTGTGCGCCGCCTCTAAGACATGCGTTTGCTCACCAGGACGAATATCAAAGTTTGGACGATGTGTAGAAAAAGAGCATGCATCCGAGGCGTCATGAACTGCAGGGAAGTGCGCCCGAGTCAAAAACGACATACGAAAGAAAACTGCCAGGCGGAAACGCGACGTGGACCATCATTGCTCCTCCCATTATCAATGTTTGGATCAAAAGTGTTTTATCGTGGAAATTTATCCCTTTGCTCACGCTTGATGTTCAAGAAAGCTGAAGCCATTTGTAGGGAAGATGCCCACTGTCCCAAGCATGCCGTCTGCACTGATATTATCTGCACATCTAAGGACGAATCCAAAATGATTCTGTGCCCCGAGCGATATGAATGAATGGAAGATTCTTGAATTATTGAAAATAGTAAAAGAGTTCATCATCACGCCCAGCAAAGGTCCAAATCCCGGTGCTTTCTGTTCGGACAGGAATTACTGTGTGATGGGATCGGTGCGTTTCAACGGCAATTGTGTATGTGGCTTCGAAAGTGTCCACGGAGATGGTTCATGCGTGCACAGAAGAGGAAACCTTGACGCGAATGAACATTGTTCCGATGCCTACGAATGTTGTGATGGTCTAATGTGTGTGTACGGACGATGTATGTGTTCGGATGATGATTTAACATGCAATGGTGTGTTTGACTAACAATCCTTCTTACTATGATTCTCTAACACAGACTAGGCTATACTACTCAAGACTAGGTCATATTACCAATATTAACAGAATCTATAAATCTAGTTAGGAATACTACAATTTCTAACTCACTGCCTGGATGAAGTACTTGTTCTAATGTCGGCAGCTCAAAGGAATGACTTCAGAACGAGAAGCTTAGGCACTGTATATGGGCTGTCTTTCATTCCCTATTCAGACTGGTGACTATTTCAGTTACGACTAAGTACTCGGCCGCGCCTCTGTGAAACTTCTTTCAACCAAGCCTAGGCTCAAAGCCTAGTCCAACAGAGCCCCTGAGGGATAGTTCCGCTGAGAAGACATAGTCTCCATTAAACCAGAACCTCGATTAGGCTGCGTTTATACTTTGCGGCAGCTTAGCGTAGCGTAGCGCAGCGTAGGGTAGCGCTTCCAGCGTACGCCAGCGGCAGTGCCGTGGAGAGGATGGATATCGATTTAGCGTTCCCAGCGTCACCACCGGCACGCTAGCGTTACGCCAACGTTTCGCCAGCGTTTCACCAACATTTTGCTGGCGTTTGCAGCGGCAGGGGAGTAGCGACAATATGGCCGTAAGAGACGCGCAATAGATGTGTTTTGTACCCTCCAGCTCTCCCATAGTCTCTACTCCCCTGCCGCTGCAAACGCTAACAAAACGCTGGTGAAACGCTGGCGAAACGCTGGCGTAACGCTGGTGACGCTGGGAACGCTAGATCGATATCATCTCTCCACGGCACTGCCGCTGGCGTACGCTGGAAGCGCTACGCTGCCGCAAAGTATAAACGCAGTCTTGGGAGAAAGGGCACAAAGGCGCTCTCGGGTGCTTTAACTACATTAGCTCGATTTGATCTCCTCATAGGCACCAATGGAGATTCACCTTTTGCAATCTCAGCTATAAAAAGCAGGCTACCCCTTGAACCTTGAGTCTGTTTCGTTTTAATTCCATTCCTTTTTCGCCAATCAGCGACGAGTGGTAGACTTATGAAACTTATGTTCATCCATTCTCCCACTGAGACCAGGTTTTTGCAAGCAAGCTCAGTTCTTTTGAGGATAAGACCAGTCGCCGCGCGGCAAGTGGAGCAAAAGGTGACTGATAGCAACTCCTATTCCCGCGCATCAAAGTTCTGGCATTAACCGTAGCTGGCATCTTCGCATTGTAGAGGTTGTCAGAACGCGTGGAAGGAGCCCACGTGGACTGCGTTTCCTACCAATCCCGCGGGAGGACTCAATCCATGCCTGTTGACAGTGTCATAACTGTATTTGACATGCTGATAGAGACTAACCGAACGACGGACTTTAGGATCACGTGGTGTCGCACTCGAAAAGCTACGAACATCGTTTACTCGCGATGAATCGCATACTTGCAATCATCCTCCGTGTTGTTGCTTCATTGAAATTGATAATACTCACTTCAACTTTCAGTTGCGCTCTTTCACTCTGGTAGGAACTGTCGTGCGTTAGATTTTCGTTCATTGGTACAACCAGAGAGTTGACGTAGCAACTGTGTATTACAGGGAAGCCCGCAGAGAAATGGGGAACGAGCTAGTTGAGCTTATTGGCTAATCCTCAACTTGTTGACAGCTGCAAACTTTTGAGTCGGCCCATTATAAGCAACGGCACGTAATGTCGTACGATTGAGGTACAAAAGAATGCTCTGGAGGGAAAGATCGCAGCGAAATGTCACTGTCAATTGACATGGTAGATCATCATGAGCGCAGGCTCTATTGCAACCACATGCTATTCCCAGCTTTTCGCGCATGGCGTTGAATGATCCTACGGTCACCTACTCGGACCAATCTGGAATAAAGACCACAGCCTGTTTTCAAGACAATTGTGCACGTTATTTGTTCGTTCAGTCAGTGGACCAGCTACATCGCCTCCGGCGAGTTCATGTATAGACGGCAGAACCTGTGTCGGTGGTTCTGTGTGTCGCGAAGGTTGGTGTATCTGCCCGGATCCGACGATGATTGTTCAGCGTGGAATCTGCATTCAACCAGGGCCACGTCCTACTCTTTCTCCGTCGGTAAGTATTACTCGTTCGTTATTTATAGAAGCAGTCCTATGAAAACTCTTCCTTCCAGTCTGCGTACATTTATCCATCAGTACAGCAGACATACAGCCAAACACAGCACAAATACAATTTTAATTAATTATCACTTCAGAATATTCTACATTTCGAACATTTCATGTCCAATTATATACTATTTTCGTTCGAAATCGGACGCTTAGAAAGCAAAACGGACACTTTTCGAACCGAATCGTGCACTTTTCCATTCACATCGGACACGTTCTATACATGGCAGATGGTTACCTAGACCACCCTAGGTACTGCTGCGCTCCTCCCCTCAACACTGCCGCCCACTCAGCGCTGTCAGTTTTTCAAAATCTGTTTTATAAATTCAGC